TTAATAATATTACCATTTGTTAAATGATAATACATACTAAAATTATTAGACAATATTCTAACACACACACACAGCTAGCTGCAATCAATTTACCTGCTACGATATTGTAAATTATCTATCATTCATACATTAATAATATGGAAAATATTCAGTTTGTTTAATAGTTCACTTACGTTCATTTTTTTAGGGAATTCATAAAGTTTTGCTCAGGTATAATTTATTATTGATGCAGTACTTTTTCGATGACCTGAATATGTCCACAACTTTGCATTAATAGTTCAATTGGTTCGACAACTTTTCCAGCAATATTTTTAAAATTTCTAAATTGCATTCAACTCAGAGTCAGGTTTAGTTGGCGCTAGCAATCGCGAAGCCTTGTGTTAAACGATTTTGCGGGATTTTGAAGTTTTTTAATTAAAAATAGAACTTTTTTTAGCCATTTAATTGATTGCAAGGCCCTTTAAAACGGTTTTGCGAGGGGTTACGTTTAGGATCATTGTTTTATTCAGACAATTTTCTCTGGGGGGCCTTTATATAATTTTGGGGTTGTTCATATTACATCAAAAAAATTGAATTTTTTGATTATAATTACCTTTGTCTGTTATTATGAATGAGAATAGTGGTGTTTTAGGGAGTATACCCACTATCAACTGTTTTAACCAATGTATTCCCTAGAAAAATAAAACTTATGTATTATTTATATTGAAGACTTTACGTTAGTAAATCAGTAAACACATTGAAATAAAAAAATTATTTTTTGGAAATACTTCGCTAATTATGAACAAATAACAATTAAATAGATATAATTTAGAAAATAGTGAAGAAAGAAACACAGATTCGCATATTCCTTGCGCAGCCTTACCTATAGTATTTGTAACCATGGAACAATAACAATACTTTGGAGAAGAATTTAGAATCTGAAAATAATGTTGATATTATACAATGAGTCGATCAAAATTAGGTGTAATTTCACTTAAAATAAAAATTATTGCGAAAATTAATTTGTTGAATTTCCAAATATAAAATGATCCACATTTAGTAAATTACTTAAAAAGTTTCTCAAGACATATAACATCAGGACATACAGGGTGGCCCACCACTCACTGACAACTTAAATAACTTTTGATCCAGTTAATATTTTTAGCTGATTTTTTTTTTAAATAATAGTTATACGTTAGGTCTATAGCTATATCTCAATAATTAATTTTTTTACATTTTATTAAAAATATTAATTATTTTTAAATTTTAAATAAAATGTAAAAAAAAAATCTAAGATAGCTATTTTGTAGAGTAGAATTTAAGAAAAATTTTAGTAAAAAAATATCTTATTAATATTCAGTAGTAAATATTCTGTAGCGTTTTGAAGTTTGTAAAAATTTGAATTTTCATGTACTATTTTACGGTTATAAACATTGAAATACGTATTGAGAAAAGGACAGAAGAAAACGCTATCTTTTCATGATTACTGTGTATACATATGATGATAGTGTGTATACATTACAAACTTGGCATAAATACCATGATAAGAAATTAGATAAGGCAATTATTACTTATCACTCTCATTCAAAAGTATATTGAAAAGATAGCGTTTTCTTCTGTCCTTTTCTCAATACGTATTTCAATGTTTAATACCATAAAATAATACATGAAAATTCAAATTTTCACAAACTTCAAGACGCTACAGACTATTTACTACTGAATATTAATAAGATATTTTTTTACTAAAATTTTTCTTAAATTCTACTCTACAAAATAGCTATCTTAGATTTTTTTTTTACATTTTATTTAAAATTTAAAAATAATTAATATTTTTAATAAAATGTAAAAAAATTAATTATTGAGATATAGCTATAGACCTAACGTATAACTATTATTAAAAAAAAAAATCAGCTAAAAATATTAACTGGATCAAAAGTTATTTAAGTTGTCAGTGAGTGGTGGGCCACTCTGTATAAAGTGTATTAATAAAAATAGTTTATTTTGGTGTCGCCTCAATTTTGCCGAGACTCTCTGAAAGATCTGAGGAACCGTCAATATGTGATCAGATAATATTTTGGTAATAATATCTAAATAATAATTCAAATGTGGCTATCGGGTTGCGTAAGCAAAAAAATTGTTCTCTCGCCAGTTCTTGCAAACCAAATAGTATGTCCATTCGGAGAACGCACGTCTTGTGTTCCGAGAAACTTGATTTGTTTTTGCAAATACTTTTTACAAAAATTTTTTTAAAAATAATTACTTAAATATTAAAACAAAAAATGTACTGGAAACGAACTTGGTGGTTGAATGTTGCCCGAAACCTTTAAATAATTAATTCGTACAATTACTGGGTATTGTAGTTTCTTCTGTACAATAATAATATGTCGGGGCTTTTGGGCTTATAAAATACATATAAATCTTATAGTTTACTATTTGAAATACTAGTTTATAATGCGGCATATATTATTACAAATCTGTGGTACTTATTGTTTTCTGCATTGTAATATTACTAGTCGTTCGGCATTTCAATAAATATTATAAATTAACTCCAGTAAATTATTACACAGTGCCATAAAACGAAACCGCCATCACGAACGCCTCAGGGCTAGGAATTGTAGGAAAACATAAATTCGAGTTTTTAATTGTCGTACTATCGATATAAAATGGAAGTGGTATCAGCAAAATCTTCCCCGTGGCCTGTTCAAATAGTCAATCATGTCGTTAATCCTTCTGCGGTATTATGCGCAAAAATAATACAAATAATGATATGCAATTTTTAATGCATAATGTGCATTATAGACGGCGTGGACATGTCAACGAGAATAAGTTACGCTCGTGTGCTTGTGAATGTTTTATGTTGATAATGAACAAGAGATAGAAAGAGAACAAGAGAGAGAAAGACGATCCTCAAGCTTGAAATTACCGTACGTTACACTAGACAGCATGGTGTTCGAAACACGTTATCTCCAGTCGGCTGATCTTGTCTCTATTCTTTGCTGATATCAATGCTCTTGCGATAAAAAAAACTTGAAATATTTTCGAAGTGTAATTTTTATAGAACTGACCGAGTGTCTAATAGCATTGGTTGCTCGATATTAGTATTTCAAATTTTATTCAATAGTTTCACAATGTATGTAACATTAGAAATTATGAGTACTGTAGGAAGCCTAAATGTTGTAATAAACAAGATCAATTTCATATTTTTACTTATTAGTCATTATTTATTATAAACTGTGTTAATAATAATTGTAAAATAATCTCACCTTTTATTCTAGTTAAAAACATTACTCACTGGTTACAAATATAAAGTTCAAAATTTACTTAGAAACAAAATCGAGTAGGACTTATCAAATACGTCATTCCGTTATAAGCTATTTTCCGGTGTTTGTGATAAGTGAAAATGACTCGATTAGAAATTAATATCAAACAAATATAATTGAAATTTGACTCTTCTCAACTTATCTATTGAGATTCTTTTCTTGATTAGAGATCATTTACTTGCTGCTCTATTTAGGATAGATCAGTACATACGCTCAAAGACGCGTTGACTTAATTAAGAAATAATTGTATTTTTATTAATTGCGAGAGTTAATTATCTTTTCAGTATTTTGTTAATAAATTTTATACTACGACAGTGATAGATAACACTGTTGTTCTAAAAAAAAAAGCATAACGGCGTAACAAAAATTTGTTTGAGTTTATTTGAGAAATGGTATTAAAATATTTTTTTCAAGGTGTCACCAATAAAATATCAAAATGATCGATTTCAATTATAGAAAAATTACTGCAATTTTTTCAATGATATTTACATAAAAATGTATGGATATGTTGAATTTAAGTTCAATCTTATTATTTTAAATACAATACTTATGAATGTTCAACGATATGTAGTCATAGAATTATATACTCAAATATACGGAATATAATTAATCATATTAATACAAAAAAAAATTTTCAATATCATGACTTGAGTAANTAATACAAAAACAAATTTTCAATATCATAACTTGAGTAAATCATTACTCTATTTTTATAAACCACAAATATTATTGAAAAATTAATAGAATTTAAAACTAACATTATATTATAATAATAGTTTTGAAGAATTTAGTTTAGAATTTATCTAAGAAAATTTATGAATTAATAATATTATTTACTTGTTAAAAATTGATGTAAACAACAAATTAAAACCAGAAATTGAAATTGGAGATATGTATACTTTATATTATTAATTTGGAAAATCCTTTATGACTAATTGAGGAGATAGTAATGCGCAATTTTAAAACGTGTTGTTAAGTATTTATAAGTTTTAATCTAATTATTTTTAGACTCAAAACAAATGGAACCAATTTCAAAATTATTCAATTATGATTAATATTTTTATATCAATCGAATGAAGTTTTTAAATACAATATCCAGTAAATAAATGTGCAGCTGTTAGAATGAACTAAAATTTCGATTTGAAAACTACTTACTAATATTTCAACACATTAGTATAATTTAGTTATTCAATTTAAAAATTAAAAAAGAGTTCAAGATTGTAAAATATTTATTCATCCAAAAAAATGTATTAATAATAATAGTAGTGGCATTATGATAATTGGTTGTAAGATTTTTATTAATTCTATTAAAAAAAAAAATTCTTAACTTTTATGACAATAAACTGAAACCAGATTTAATATATTTTAGTTGTGATTTACAATTCGATAAGTATATTATTTTTATCAATAGTAAAATAGTATTTCATCGGAAAAATTGAATATCTGACAAATGTATTTTTAGAGAAAACACTTCTTTAATATTATTTTTTTACTTTTATTTATTGAAATATCAATATAATTGAGATAATTTTTTTCTTTTTGCACATCCATTAGACTAATGGTGATAATTTGTAAAGAGAATATTATATGCTTTATGTCCCTTGCAATAGTATTAAAAACAGTTTTTAATATGTGACAATTTTATAAATTAAACTAAAGTAATGAAACATTAATAGTGTTAAAAAGAAAATTTAATATTTATTAGGTTTTTACAATATAATATATAAAATATAATATTTAATATGATACAATTATTTAAAAATATATTTTAATTTTCATATGAATAATGTCATATTATTTTGAAATTAATTATGTTATTTATTTCGATTGAATAATCTTATATCAGTTTGTGTATAATATGCGTTCATATTGTAGAATTTTCCAAAATATGCTGTGATAGAATCCAGTTTTCTGTTGATAAAATTTTTCTGGATTTCTATATTGTTATTAAAGTACTTTCCTAATTTGTACAACTATAAACGAAATGAAAATATTAACAAATGTAATATGCACCGTGTAGAAATAGAGAAACTTACTTCATTTCGTCTGGTACTTTTTGGTAAGTGCATTGCTACATTAGGAGCAATTCTTCTGGCCAATTTGAGGATTGCTCGTCCTCCTTTTTCATAGTCAGTGCACATGTTTTTCTTCGAATTGTATATTCGGTGGTTTATGTACGATGGTTCTCCCCATGGAGTTGAAGTTACAATTATTTCAGGCTTGTATTTTTTTAAATCATTTGCTATAGCAAAAAAGTCGCCCATAATAAACTTAATTTTATCTCTCACACCGTAAATTTCTGCATTTTTTTTAGCAAATTCCAATTTTTTTGGATCAATGTCTATTGCTATGACTTTTTCATATTTCATTGCTAATTGTATTGCATTTCCTCCGACGCCACAAAATGGGTTCATTGCTACATTGTGACCCTTACACCTTTTTGAAATATGTTTGCTCAAAATTTCAGGGCACACACAATAAAATGATTCTAAAACAATTGTTATAGTTAACATTAAACAATAAGAGATTACCTTAGTATAACTTTTATTACCACAATCCAAGAGAATTCCGTTATCAAATTTTGTAAACAGAAAGTGTCTCTTGTCCCACAAGTATTTTGGGACATCACGAGGGCGAGTATTATTGGAGCTATTAGTGTTGTAATTAAGTTTAATTGGTGCTGTGCTATCATTAAAAGCGGACTCCGGTGTATGCAATTGAGTTGTTTCAGCCGAGTTACATATTTGGGTTGAAATATTCTTCTCCTCTATAGCGTTATGAAGCTGACAGAGCGAGTCAGTGTCGGCAATGTCGTTATTTGGTAGGTCGGTTTCAAATGAATTGTCAGTTGTATTATTGTTTGAAAAAATGTTTTTTTCGGTTTCAACGGCAATAGTTTGTGCTGATGCATCTGTAAATTTTCGGCCTGTAGTTGAAATATCTGGCAAAATAGGCGTAGTATTTGGACTTGCAATCAAAGTAGATTTGCTATCCATAATTGAATTTCCAATAAGAGATGCAGTTTTTTTCTCCTTGAACAGTTCATTGTTCAAGTATATGAGAAACGAGAATACTAAAATTCCACCTAAAGCGAGATCCTGTATAAATGGAACAGGAATAACAAAATATGCAATCGCCATAGTCGAACAAATAAGAAATGAATCCATTGTTTCGATAAATTTAGTTTGCGAAAAATTTATGTTTAAACGAAATTAATATTGTTAAAAAGCGTATAAAAATCGGTACGTAATTATCACTATGGAAAAACACGGGCGGTAATTCAAAACGAACTGAATTCAAGCTATATTGTTTTTTACTTTTTATACAGAAAATTATCCTTAGTTACCATTATTTCAGCCAATTTATGTAACTTTTAAATAAATTTTACTAGTTAAAAAGAACTATTAATCGTGTAATTTTTTTAAACGGGATGATAATTTTATAACATGGCCATTTGTGAAAGGGCTCTAGCTCCTTAGCCCCTCACCCGAGTATATCACTGAATTATTATATAAAACGTACTATATTTTCATATGGGAAAGTATAATTTCGAAAGAGGAATATTAAGAAAATTTCGATGTGACGAATGTGCATCTAACTCAAGTGTCCGTTTAGACAAATTCACTGTGATAAGTTAACTGGTAATCGCATAGCTAATAGTTGGCAATGCTTAAGTAAACAAAGTTGTCTGTCGTACGAGTGTCAGTGATGTAATATGTGGTCGGAACAAAACCTCTCCGCGCCACACTGTCTGCCGAACAAGCCATCGACTACCACGTTGGGAAAACAATAACCAGAAATCCTGTGGCGGTTTCCGTTGTAATGCGATAGCGTTGAAATGAAAACGGCGCCGGTCCAATCGCTAGACAACACTGTGAAAAAACAATTATTAAATATTATAATTAGCAGTGCCTGCGTAAAACGGGTGTCCGATATAGTGACCGCTTTGTGGTATGCAAACTGCGTGCGTCTACTTAACGAAAAGTAATTTTTTTTCTTCGGTACAATTAAATTGCAGTGCGACAATTAAGCCTTTCAGTCTAAATACTCCGTTAATACAATAAAACGGTCGGGAAAAATATGATTCGCTCTAGATCATTGAACTTATGAATCATCGTTTAATTGTACGATGGACATAAACAATTTGTAACAGTTGCACAAAACGCCGACCGAAGCATACTGAAAAGAGTTTGTTTTTTAGCGCTACACGTCGTATTGCAAACCTATGATAGGTTTTAATTCGTCGAAAAATAATTTAATCAAGTAAACGCACACCTTGTCTTGACTACCGACTGGTCGTAAATAATTTTCTAAAAGTATCTGATGTACTTTTTTAAATAAAATTATTAATACGTTCAGAGCATTAGATAATTTATCGTGTTGTTGTTGAGAAGTGTGTATAAGATACACACAGCATATTTCATCACGGCCATAGACCGTTGGTGGTCGTTCACTACGAAGAGATTTTTATTTAGTTATTTGTTTTTACGACAGGACAATATTTAATAGAAATTAATAAAAAAAAATTCGATTTGTCCACGTACACACTTTGTTTTTATCGTGGTAATGTTTCAGTTATAGATTTTGGACGAAATCCAGTCGGGTAAAAAACACAATTACTCGAATTTCGCGTGCGCTGCTAATTGCTGTCACAAATTACATAAATTGCTGAATTCGCTAATTGCCACAAGAAGATAATTAAATTACAGTTAAAGTAAATATTATTTTTTTCGGTATGATCCGGATCATTTTAATGTTTGTTTACTATAAATAGAATAAAAACCAACGATCAGTTTTGATTATTATTATTTCAAAAATTAAACAATTTTTAAAACGTTTAACTCTAATAGCCGAAAAAATATTCCGAGTAAAAAAGGCCATTGTTTGATTAACGAAGTATGGTAATTTTAGCTCTTAGGTATTTGCAATTTTAATATTATTAAATTAATGTAATTAAAATTTTAAATATATTTTTAGTTTTTAAGTTTACGATTATAAAAATTATTTCAAACCATTTACAGTATAGTTTTTTTTACACGTTAATGTTTTAATCACAAGTACTAATCAATTTTGAACTAGTCGAACCGTCTCATGAACGTTTTTATTGCGCATAGTGTCAACTTGACAAGTTTGATGAATTGGTAACAAGAGTAATTTTCTACTTGATAGCCGAGTGCTTTAGTTTGCGTACTTATGTTTTATTCATTTGAGAAAAATAGTACAATTGAATTTTTGTCACTAAAATGATTTATGTTTCAGTGTCAGATGTATTACTAAATTTTTAAAATGACCAACACATTTGCGTTGCACATAATCGTTTACAAAAGTTTTCAACGGTTTCATGTAAAACCCAAGTATAATTTTATGTTAAGCGATACCTGTTTCGTGTACTAGGAATTACTATCAAGGTTCATTGGAAAACGGTCTCAAGTTGGTGTCAATTTAGATAAGAGCCGATGAGATAGCGGGACATAAGTTACGAACGAGTGTTCACTACAAAAACACTTAATTAGCATCTGTTTTTGTTACATGTCGTAGGCAATTTATGAACACCAAAAATTTTAGTCTCAGCTATTTAATTGCGCTCAAATAAAACTTACCGTCTATATGAATCGTATGTAATAAAAACAACTCGATCGTCTTAGCGATAAATTTTTACTACACTTCAGTCATTGGGTAAATAATATGTGTACTTAACATCATTATTAATTAATATTACACGTGAAAACGCGTAATAAATAGTACAGGCAAACGTTAAAATTTAGTGTAATGTTGATGAAATCATGCGTATTTAAGTGTTTTTTTTTTTTTGTAGCCAGTTTTAGTGGATCGTTATATTAGTTTGTTTCTAAGAATCAGCAATGACCTAAGGAACTCGTGGTATTTTATTGATAAATCATACAGTCCAATTAAATCACTCGCCAAACATTTTCTTTAGCACATTCGTATTTCAGCGAAGAACCCAAGCAGTCACGAGACGCGTTTACTTTAAGTGTACTCGACAGTTTTCTACGCATACTTAATGTGAGTAAACGGCATTCAAAGGAATGGCGGTGATAATCGAAATCTATAAAAACGCGCACGAGTGTACAGCAGGAATCAATAAAAAAGTTTAAAGCGACGCAAGACGAACCCAAGACGAGTGGATTTTCTTTGGAGTACCGTCGAGACGCGTTTACACACGGACCGGTTGAAACCACACCCACGCTGCCAATCAAAAGGAGACCGGTCTCTTGGGCTGTTGGGTCTCGGCGTCCGTGTGTCTGCTGCCGCTGCGATGACTCCACCGCCTGTACAAGTATGGGAACCGCGCCGTCTCAACAGGCCATAAGACGTGGTCATAAACACTTGTGTTATAATTAACGAATTTTTATATCGATTGAGTCATATTGTTGTTATATCATTGAGCTGGACGGTAAACCGGAGCTATTCGTTCAGCATGTCGAAACGATGTCCAGACTAGTTAATGGTCTATATAATATATATTTTTTTACCAAACTTGTCCTAGGCTAGGTCAAACTTTTATTACTTTTATCGCGTTCGTAGTTATATTACTGTAGGTCTTCGTTATAATGGGAATTTTTAATTTAGCACATTACATGTAGCCGGACACTGGTTTGACATTACGGCAAAATTTATTGCCCTTTAAAGAACATCATGTTAATCTCAGTCATTAGTGTATTTTTCTGTAATTATGTAAGTAGAAACTAAATCATTAAAAATGGTGATGTGCCATCGCTCGTCATATAGTACAATGTCATCGGCTATCGAAAAAAAGTCACTCGTGATTTTAGGGGCAGACCTCCCAGGCAACGGTTTTCTTACGGTATATAATGTTAAGGGTAAAACTATGATACGAGTTACAACCCTTCCCAGAAAAATGTTAAAAACTTGCCACTGAAAAAGAGTTACGATATTTATTTTGGTAGATAATTTTATCACCATATAGTTTTATATAAATTTAAATTTCATTTTTTTTTTAGTTTTCGGTTAAAAGGTGATTTAGGTAGTTAGGTCCACCAAATTCTTAGACATAAATAACATTTTTTACGTCATGGTATCTATTTAACATAATAAATACGTATGAAATAACCATCGAATACTAATTAACTATCGTTCAGTAACAATTTGAAATTTCATAAATAATTATCGACATTGGTAGTAATGGTGACGTTTAAAATAAGTTTGTTAAAATTATTCAATGATATTCTATATTAAAACGCAATATAAAAAAAACATATTTTCAGTGTAGAAAAATAAAATTTTCTGATAAAATTTCAAATCACTGATAATTTAATGAAACTAAGTGAATTATTTTGTTGATGATTCCCAAAAATAATAACTATTAATAATAATGTAGTATTAGTTTTCTGCTGGCAAATGTTTAAAACTTGTAAATAAAAATAAAAAAATTATTTGGAATTCAATATTACGGAATAGATGAACTTGGAATGAACGTAAAATTCATAAACAATATGAAATCCAGGTTATTTTATAAGTACGGGTAAAAGAGTTTTACAAAAAATATTCAAACTGTTTACAGAAAACTAATGAAAGTCACTGATAAAATGATTTTTACAGTTACTGTTTGTTGGAATTTAGATATTAGCAAACTGATAGCTTTAATAAGAGAATTATCAAAGTACGGAGGTTTAATAATTTTATTGGTGTATTTTAAAAATACCAATAAATTAAATTTGTAAATGTACAATGCTTGATTAGTACAGCGTGAAATTCTATGCAGCACGTGTGTTTATTAAATTAAATAAATAGAAGAACGTTTATCAATCGATAAGAGACTGTGTGTGCGTAAAACCTTCGATTAATTTTTGATTGAACACACACACACACATATATATATATTAATTTATTGTGCATAGAAGTTGCTGTACTATTATGTATAATTTCGTAATATTTTAGGCTTATTCTATACGCTTAAACTTTATGCTCATGACTGAAGTGAAGCCGATAGCAAAATAGTGTTGTTTTAGCAACATGGGTTACCAAAAATTTATCTAAAAACTAATATTTCGATAAGTGTATACTTACTAAAACGTTTGGACGATTAGTTACTAAATTACATAGCTAATTATCGGTAAGAAAGCAGAGGTTTGTGTGTAACATCGAACAATGTTGCCGAGTATTTTTTTAGTGATCGATGTTAATGTTAGGATTCCGTGTGCACAACGAAGGGGTGTTTGAGTACAATAGCCAAATGTAAACACTTGAATGTCTTTCCGCGAAGCTTTTTTTAAGAAGACGGCCAGATGCAGTGAAATTGACCAGAACTCGAAATGACCATTACTCGACAGACAGACGTTATGTTAGAACAGCATTGACTGGACGGCGCCTGGGGTATATAAGTTATATTTTTATACTCGGAACCGTCATGACGGTGGAATCCCTTGAAGTAGTCTCGACGTGCCGGTGGTGTTTCCAGGGGGTGTAAGGGTGGGGGTTCCACATAGGTGGTCACGCTATCCCCGCCGCCGGTTGCCACCCACCCGCCCGTGTTCGCCGTTTCACTTGGTGGGAGCGTTTACCAACCCGACGGCCGGCCGGCCTGGCAAACTACACCAGTGTTCGTCATCAGTTCACGGGCCACTCTCGAGCAGCGCGTTGCCGTCGCTGCAAACACGTTTCGACGGATTACGATTGTATTTCATTTTTTTTTTTTCAACTTTTTAATTGTATCCATACACGTATAGATTTTTTTTTGCGCACAGATTTCAAGCTATTTCGAATGGAAATCATAAAAAAAAAGCAATTGCAAAATTAGTATTTTTTTTTTTTTTGTGCGATAATAGTTTTAAGCTTTTCGTAGTGTGCACTCTTCGAATTGGTCGCGGTTATCAGATAATACGCTCGCCGCACTACGGCAAAGTACGTTTTTTTAAAATAATTTTTGCGTCGGTCGCGGTGGTGTCGTTTCATCGCGGAAGACAATCAACATCGTTATCGTCTCGATCAGGTTACACATGTTTTCCGATTGGCGATACGACCACTGAACTGCATACGCCGGCTACAGATTTGTCGGCATGAAAACCGACAAAGACCGTCTCACAGGTAATGTCATTCGTCTTTATTAGTCTAAATAGGTCGCGTCGTCAAAACGGTTTCAGACCGCGTGTCTGTGCGTTTTTTTTTTGGTCTCCTTTTTTTTTTTTTTTATATATATATGTATATATTTTTTTTATTAGCCGTCGCAGGCTCCACAACGTCTGGCCAGGCCGTCGTCGACAATCGTTATCACTGTATACGATACGTTTAATAATTACATCGGTCGGGCTGTACTGTATGGTTAGTTGTACTAGGCGTAGGCCGATATGCGTGAACCCGACACGATAATCTGTAACGAATAAAAAAAAAATGTAAATTAATAGGTTTTATCGTTTTTTTTTCGCCGCGTCTACGACGATCAATGTGTTCGTTAACGTTGTGCTTGTTAGAGAACGTTGCCGTGTTTTTTCTCCGGCCGGGCTCTTTCAACACGATTACAAAAACAATAATCGCGTTTCATTTGATATCTCGAGTTGGTGTGAGTATTTTTTTATTGATAATACACGATGCCGGACTGTGGAGGCCGACGAACGCTGAACTTGGACCCCAAAAGTTTCACGTGTTACTACAATAATACGTTTAATCCGACCGACTATAAAACCAGTTGTTGTTGTTGTTGCTACTGTCACCTGATATTGTGACTTTCGGACCGATAACAACCCGTTTTCCAAAAAATGCCGCCAAACTGTCGAGCCAATTGGTGCGATCATGACGACGTCGACACGAACGGTGCGACCTTTCTCTTTCGCCGTGTCTGTCTCCCGTGTTCTATGCATATGTGTTATTTTTTGTAACTTCAAATATCCACTGTCACGCGTGAAAGGTCATCTGTCTACCTTGAACGCATAGTGTGTTTTATGAAAGATCCGACGGCGAAATATGCCAGTAACAAGCGCTCGATTGCCGCCGCCGTTAACGCATTGAAGTGGTTGAACGTCGTTGCCCCCACGCTGGCGTGCAAAAAATTATTGTCGAACGCCATAATAAATCACACAAACAAACGCTGCACAGAGACAAGTTATTTTAACTCGATAAAATAGTTCGATGAAAATATGCTTGCGCATTCGTGTAGGACACTAGAAACTTGCACTCGAATTTTCTTGAATTTCGTCACTCTGATGCATCTTTTTAAACGCTGTGCGACAGTAGAATGAGCATCGACGGTCGAGTTTACCTTACTTTATTGCTAATCATTGTGCCCAGTCAGCTTTAATGTAAACATAACGCTATAACAATTTATCAATAGCGCCCAGAAACGATTCGACGGTCAGCCTTCAAGATACTTTTACATGTATTATAACTGTGCGGCTAATTATGTTTTATTACTGTCAGCGTCATTATTCGTCAACAACTATTGAACTCGATTGAAGAGTACCTTGTTTTTTTTTAATGCCCATCGTCCAATTCGATTCAATACCACGGCGATTCCGAGAATCGTTATGACCCAGGGACCGATCAAATTGATTAAATTGTCATGATTCAAAGTGCTCACGGCTACCTCAGATGGAGTGTATATAAAAAAGATCAGTGTACCTTCTTTTGAAAATTTGGGCACGGCAATTCCTAGAAACCGCTGTTTCGGATGTATTGCTATACTTGTATAAGTGGACGACAGCAACAATATAATTATTCGCATTTGTATGAAAAAAATAAATATAAAAAAAAGGGATGTTTGTATAGAATACTAATCATGGCAATGTCTTTATATATATATATATATATATATATGTATACATTTACGTTATATGAATGACACAAATAAAAATTATTAGTTATCAATGGAGTGCACAGAAAATCGCAATGGCGGTCACGTGTTGGCTTCTACCATTTTTTTCTTAATCGTCTCTTGGACTGTGCAGATGTTTACAGATTATGTACTCCACTAATGTATTATAATCCTTTTACGGTAACCAGGGACAGGTTTTATTTTCACGGGCACGTGTGCAGTCGTGTAACATACCGAATTCTTTCAAAAAAATAATCCTTTTAATATTTAACAATTGTTCGAATTCTAAGAACTTTTAGAGACGCGACAGCCGTGAAAAAAACTATGAACTTTAGTTTACGTTTTCATTATTCGCGTAATGTTCTTTAATTGTGAGTGTATATATATTTAAAAATACAATAATTATATTTTAATTATGGCATTATTTATCGGTGAATAATTTTAACCATTTTTGACTGAGTTTATTTTAAGGTTAAACAAATATTAAAATTATTTTTTTAATATTTATTGTTTTGTTGGATTAGTTTGTTTACATGAATACATGTTTGTTTGCTTGAATAATTGATTAATATATTCCAAAGTTGACTTCGGCTAATGTTAATGGTAACTAAAAAGAGTTAACAGAAATTAATATATTAATGCTAAATTTAGAAAATTATTTCATTTGATTTCGTTTGTGTAGCATTATTATAAAAAAATATATTAGCGAATATTATTATTTAATTATAAGGGTTTTCTGTAAAAATTATATCACAATCTACATATGCACTTACAATTGTAATTGCATTGTGTAATAATATATGTATGAAAAATCATGTACAAAACTACAGTTTATCAAAAATTATGTACGGCTTTTTTTCCTGTTTGATTACCTTGGAATTAATTATTTTAGTTAAAAATTTTTGTACAATGTTACCCATGTAAATTATTATTATTTTTTTGTTCTTTAACCTATAAAATTAGTCGAGAAGTATAATTTATCGATCAACGTTCTCATCTATTATCTAGTTTGTATATGTAGAAAAATGTAGCAATTAGCATAAATTTGAAATTCAAGGATTAAAGGACAGTTAAAGTGCTACCAATATTTACTAACAGCGTTTCGTAAAATATCTTAATTGTTCTAGTTGAAAAATTTAACGATAATTTTAAGACTAAATATTTTTATTTACTTTATTTTATTAAAAATACCTAAATCTACAAATGTTTAAAGATTGCGCTTTAATTCATGGCGATTTTTTTTCATAATAGATAACATAAGTAGTTATTGAAATCATTTTTATGTGTATTTACTAGTATTATGCAAGAGCATGATTGAAATATTATAAAGCACCAACTTGAATGTCCAAAAATGATAAAACTATATATAGACTATTTTATTTTCCAGGTGCTTGATCAACAATGATAAGCGGTGTGTTGTTGATGGTGGCTGTGATATCAGGCATAGTGTGCGGTGACACACCAAGACCGTCGGGCGCTCGGGCGACGTTCAAAGACGTTGGCCAGGCTGAGAGGCATTTGCTGGCTGCACTTGGTATGAAGCGAAGACCTGTGGTAGACAAGTCTAAGGTAGAGATACCAGTTGCTATGCTGGAACTGTATAACATGCAAGCGTCCAACGACTTTGACACTACCGGGTTACCTTTGCCCGGTCGTCATGTAAAATCAGCAAACACCGCCAGAACGTATCTTCATAGAGGTGAGTTTCACAAATTTTTAAGTACTAGGTTCTTCTAAAAAACAAAAAAAAAAAACAATTCACATCTACGTCATAGTATATAAATAGTAACAGTTATTCAATAATTTGTTTTCACTCTTAGAATTTGAACGGTTTCTCTTAATGTGATATTGTCAAATGGTTTTAAATTAATTGAAAAACAAACAGTCAATAGCGGAAATCAAATGTATTACATGTAAGGCTTACGCATGAGCATTTTTATTATTTCTGTCGAGATAGTAGTAAAAATATTGTCAGCTATGCAAACGCATTTTACTACTACTGGCTAGTATACGTCAAATAGTATTTGTAAATAAAATAAAACTATTAACATTCATTAAAACCGGATATGACGTTCAGACGTTCTATATGTTAATAGATTGATCGGTATAAAATATTAATGTGGACGAAACATGTTTGAAAAATCCTCTTTTTACTACTCTTACTCTTTGCTTAGCTATGCTTTATTATAGTTGACCGGCCATTGGACACTAAATTTGGGTGTTAAAAAAATGTATGTGAACCTTGAGATTGTTTGTAGGACAATAAAATACCGACTATTAATATTTAATTAGTTTGAATATGAAATTAAATTGATAGCAATTTCATAGAATATTGATAATTATTCCTAAATAAAGTCCCTAGGGATAGTTTTAGAGAGCTACTGTTTAATTTTTAAATTCAATAGTTAACACGTGCAAAATAATGAAATTCAGTTATATCTTATTGTAATGACGTCTCGGACAACTATTTTTTTTTTTTTAGATTGAACATTAGATGGAGAAAATAGGTAATAAATAATCTTACGCATTTTGTTAACTCAAAATTGGGCCATAAATAAAAACAAATGAGCTTAATATGTTCTAGACTTACTCAATTATATCGACATTTATAATCTGTTCATGACTGTAAGCAATACTCCAGTCATCCTTTTCAAATGCTATTTCTAAAAACTGCAAACGAAATAATCGATTAATCATTAACATGCGAGGAAAAAAGGGAAGTCGCTGGCACGCGATTATAGAATAGTTCAATGTAAAATTTATATATACCCATAAAACACGCCAAGTTTTTTTATTATTTCGAGGGGCGTCGTGTAAAAGATTGCGAAGTTGTTTTACTTAAATATACTGTATACATATTGTGCGCGTTCATTAAGTGTCTTTGTGATTTCAATCAAGTTTTCGTGTGAGGGTAATTAATATTGCTGTAGCATTCATTGAAAAATACAAACTTTTTTCGACGATTTACAGCTATTTACTCAAAAAATGGATGCAACGTGAAAAGTTCATAGTTGATTTAAAATTGGCATTGAGACGGTGTCGGTATAACTTAAATATTAATTTTTTATGTTATTGTTTTGTATATTTGGTACAGACGTTATCTCTTGGTCGTTAAAAACCCTATTAGTTTTTTTTTCGGTAAATGTGAATATGTAATAAAATCTTCCTATGTAAGTTGAGATACATAGAACATTTGAGTCTATTGCCTAGGCTTTATTAAATGTTCATAATCGTTGTACAATTATTCTCTTTAATCGTTAAACCGAAGAGCGATCCAACCGGTTTGTGGTTAAATTAACTGACGTCGTATTTGATATATATTTATATTTTTTTAACATCACCGCAAGACCCTAAAGTGACTTCAGATAAATTAATAAAATAACTTTCGAAAACAAACTCAATAAACGCACTCGCATGATTTCACCTAAAACAAACGTTGACATTAAACACAAAATCGAGGTCTTGTATTCGTTTAGTTGAACTTTTATAGCGATCAAAAGTAGTGTTTTTTAATTTATCTGGTTTTGGTTGATATTGGTAATTTGATGTCAATACATTTTTTTATCTTGTCATTTTATTGTAATATTTTATAAACAAATTGTACGGTGTACATTTTGTGCGAAGTAATATGATTTCGTTATTCAAAGTTGTAGTATCATACAAAAGATTTTTTTATCGCTAAATAAATATTGTTCACGAAAATACGCTCTAACGAGTTATTAGATTCGTTTTTTGACACGTTAGAATTTAAACAAATATTATTGACGTTAATATTGTTCTAGTTTCGCGTCAAATGGTCTATTAGATTCTTTCAACAGTCAATTGTGTAGAACAAAACAAACAAGTGGTTCGGGCGTCGCATTGTCTAGCGCTATAGGATGTAGTTTAAATAGTTTATGAGAAGGTTTCATGTTTCATTTAATACGGACGTCTTTAGTGGATTCTCTGAACTACATTAGTGTAATTCGATGGTTTTATTTTTTACGGAAAAAAGTAATTTATTTTTACATTTTTGACAGTCACGAGAATTTTTTTCGTTATAATTATTCACCATAACTCTTGCAATTGTATGTGTTTGCTCATGACTATTGGTTCACCCTTTGACTGACTTCATTTGTGTTCATATAAATGTAGGTCAACTACCAGTATCGCGATGGTGATAAATTATCTTCAAGTTCATAGTCCGATCACACTAATAAAATCCATAGAATAATAATTAATTCGAATCGTTCTCTTCTTTTCTTTACAAGAAATTCGGTGGTTTACCATAAATCATTTATTGTGCAATAAAAAACCGAGGTTTAAAATCACACGGCTCATAAATAAAACATATCAACGTTAATCAAGTTTGAACCTGGTATATTATATACGTTGATGTATAAAAATATTTCCATTTCATTTACCTGATGATTTCACTAGTTTTTAGTCCATATCGGTCACTTTATTTTTCACTTCTTCAATGATTCTTCTATTCCTTTTTTTAATTTTTTACCTTCAGTGTTGAAATCTAATTTTATAATCATACAAGTTGATTTCTAAGATTTTGCCTTAAGTGATTTCATAAAATATAAAAGCTTTTCAACGAATAATGAGTAATATTAATCATTTAAGAATAATAATTTTACCCTTTTTATTATTCAACAAAGTTCTACATGCCAAAAGAAAGTATATAGACATTTAAAAAGAAATTAATATCTAAACGATTATTAGGATTTTTAAAAGCTTTCGAAAATGTATTTTGACAGTTATGTTTAAGAAATATAAAGGAATAAAATTCATTTAGTTAATTTATTCTGTTCATATACATTTGTTTATGGATACTATAAAGTACAAATGAAGAATAATTGTTAAAATATTATTCTGTACAGTATGATTAGTTTATGAAGACCTTTAATTTTTGTACAGATATAATTTTCAATACGATTTGAAAACCTTAACTTTATAATTTTAAATCATTATTAAAAATGATTTCATGTTAACCAAATGTAAGTCGTAAACCAATATTTTTGTTAATAGTTGATTAAAAAAATGTTTTTTTTGGAGCACCAAACGAGGTGTTATTAAGAAAACATATTTTTTTTAGATTGAAGGTTGATAATCGATTTTTAAACTATTTTGACTAGTAAAACTATGAACTTGACACACATAAGTTGGTTTGGAGTAATTTTTTTTTTATATTGTAAGTTGTTCTGGTTTTTGGGTAACTGCAGTAAACAGCAGTGTGTATACTTTCCTAAACAGTATCATCTAATGATATGTTTTCAACTCAAAACGCATACTTTTTTCTAAAATAGCTCAAGCTTAAGGTATTGAAATTGTTTCAATATTAAACGGTTCTAGTTTTCTAATAAAATACAGGTGTAATTAAAAAAATTAGTTACAAAAAGATAAATGTACTTTCTTTCGCATAACACAATTAATTTCTATAAAATAAAATTTACTCATCATGAATAACTATCATTTCGTTACAATATTTTTATTCGTAATCATCAGGTTTTGTGAGGTGTTGCATCTGTAACTATTTTTTAGTCAATACAATTAATTTTTGACTAAGTTATAAATCTTTTACAAGTGAATAATATATTAAATTTTTTAAGGACATTTTCTTAGCGTTTTTCATGTTATGCTACAGTATTTTTTCACTTTTTAGAGATTTATGAAAAAAGTATTTCAAGGATTGATGCTAAAAAATACGTCTAGTAAAATCGTCACCTAATTTTTTCTGTTGCTATTAAATCCCCAATATTCTATGTTTTTTCTTACAAAATTTTACCTAGAATGACAATACTTCAAATGTTAATTTTAATTTTTTTTTCACAACTAAGTAACTTAATTGTTGTATTGGAGAGAACGGGAAAATCTGAATAGAACTTTGATACCTGTATACCAAGCCATGACTCGTTCCCTATCAAACTATATGATCTATACTTAAGTATCTAATTTTAGAGCAATAAAGCAATCAATTTTGATCGATTTTGAACTTGTTTTCATGATACGGTCAAGGTCAACTCAAAAATTACTTAACACACGGTTATTTTCCTTAAATGGTATTATATGTGTAATGAAGTGTTCATGAGTATCGAATATTTAGGTGAATAACTATGGTACCTTTTGAAATCGTTAAACATTTTTAAATAAATGATAATTTGCTTACGATAAGATTAAAACTGTTGAACAACTTAATTAGTTTCACATTTTTATTCTGTTAGCATGAAGAATTATACGGCGTGCCTTATTGCAAAAACATGTTGCAGGTTTTATAGTCCGATGGATGTGTGGGCTATTACATTTTATAAATATTTATCATGATAGATAGTACAATATAAATAGCGTAGAAATATTTTTATGCGTATTACCATTATTATTTAATTGCAAATAATTATTTTGTTTAATAAGCTATTCACTCAACGTGTTTAATTTGCTCGCTCAGTTATCATCCAAACATTTATACGATAATACTTATCATTTGAAACGTACATGGCGGATCTTGATTTTCTATTTACATAAGTGCTTCGGATATATTATTTTTAATATTCTAGTATTAATTATTTTAAATATTTAAACTTATTTAAAAGCCTTAGTGTGCAATTTTAGTATCAGCTCGTCAATAAAGTTAAAAATCTTTATTTGAACTTGGCCACATTTTATTCATCTTTTAACCCTTTAATCATGTTTAACGTGTTGAATTTCGTAGTTAGCGTTTTCAAACAACTAATTGTTTACCGTCCATTTGTTAGCACGACGATAAAAAACAACAATAACAGTAAAATGATAACAAAATAAAGTATTAACTATTTCGATTTTTATTGATTGCAGAATCTGAGCCAAAAAATCCCAAGTGTCGGAAATACCGGATGCAGTTTGCTGTAGACCCACTTCCAGAAGGCGAATGGTTAACGGCAGCCGAACTAAGGTTGACGCCGTTACGGAACAGGCCGTCAGGTCATCCGACTCGAGTTCAAGTGCTCATTCATGATATCGTTCAACCAGGTGTCCGAGGTGTCTCGAAACCCGTTCTGCGACTATTGGATTCGCTGTTCGTGGATCTCGAAGAAAACGGCGATGAGGCCGTCGTATTGGATGTGACACCAGCGTTGGAGCGGTGGTCGCACCAGGAAAACAAGGGTCGATTAGACGAGGTCAACCATGGTTTGCTGGTGGAGACGCTGACAGGAGGTCACGGCCGGGCGCCTATACCCGAAACGTTTGAGCTCCATGACGGTCACCGGCCAGCATTGCTGGTGTACTCGGATGATGGTAAGAACAGCAGGCCGGTGGGACCGCCTCGGCGGAAACGGTCGCCTTCTCAGCAACGGAATGGTAACAAGCGGCGAAAAGACGGTTCCAACGCCGGACGAAATATATGCCAAAGGCATCCCCTCTATGTAGACTTTACGGATGTCGGTTGGGATGACTGGATCGTAGCACCACCCGGCTACGACGCTTATTACTGCCAGGGCGACTGTCCGTTCCCCGTCGCTGAGCATCTAAATACCACCAATCACGCTATCGTGCAAACCCTGGTGAACTCGATGAACCCTACCGCGGTGCCCAAAGCGTGTTGCGTGCCCACCCAGTTAGCGTCCATATCCATGTTATACCTGGACGAAGATAACAAGGTGGTGCTCAAGAACTACCAGGACATGCAGGTACTGGGATGTGGGTGCAGGTAGTCCGACTCTCCGGCTGTCACCACCGCACCATACTTCATGCGCACCACAAACACACACACACATTCACAGCGTCGCCCAAAGATATTATTTTTTTTTTACTATTATTTTATGTGTCTCTCGAAACGAGGCGGTTTTTTCTTTATTATATATATTTTTTTTGTTCATTCTCATTCGAAGGTTTTTACTAAATGATTTATCGTGATCATTATTATAATTATTATTATGTGTTTGACGAATAAAAATCGAATGCTCTAGAAATTTCCGAAATGGACATGAATCTAATGATCTTTATGTTTATGTGAAGAAATACGACGGATTCCTCTAATATGTTCCCGCCATTACCCCCTCCCCTCCCAATATATGTACTATTTGTACCCAAAATTCATATATAATAAAAATTTTCCTCTTTTTTTATACTTATTTATTATTTTTTAGCTTTTTGTACACCGACCAGTGAACGTTATTATATTATATTTATACATCATGCTCATATACTAGTCTTTTATATTTATAATAATCATAATCATTTCCCCTTGAAATCAAAACCAACCAAAATACCTATGCAGTTTGATTCATCATACTTGCGTTATGTTTGTTTATTTATTTTATTAAATTTTGACTTGCCTTGATATGTTACCATAATATTATTATACATGTAGAGTTAGACCCGTGTTATTGTCTCACGAGCTTTGAGTAAAATTCAAATTCATATTATTGAAAATAAAGAAAAAATCCAATGTCTATATATACTTCGTAAAAGTATCCTACTATTATAATTTTTTTTTTGTAGAATGCAAATTATATTTATATTTATATATATATTGTACATATATTTTGTAAATAATAATAAAATTGTGTTATATTATACAACATATTATTTGTTTATGATCAGAATTTTAAAAAATTATACCTTTTTTGTGTAGAAAGTTTAGCGCGGCTAAATTTTATTCATTAGAATGAGTCTCAATTGTTAAAAAGAAAAAATAAATAAATTCTACGTAACGTTATTGTATAAGTTCATTTTGCTAAGTGCACAACATGGTAAAAAATATCGAGTCACTAATAAAAAAAATCAATAGAAATAAACCTGGAAATGTAATAATGTGATCATCAGTCCACTAGAAAAATGTGTAAATAAAATTAGTCTTAAGATGAATGAACAGTCATATTGGTATTACGAACGTTTTTTGGTTGCCCTAATATATTTCTTACTATCAATTTTAATTGGAAACCTGAAAAAACGATAAATTTTATTTAAATATATGATAGTAATAAAGTATTCTTTTTTTTTTTTTTTTGAGAAGAATAATCGCAGTAGTGTCTGTATGAAATAGAATCCTATCAAAAAATTATCTTGTATACTAAGTCTTGGTTTTATTATTTACTAAATATGTAATATAAATTATAATTACGAATTACAATTTAAACTTCATTAATTACGAACATCAACCATTTATCTCCCATAAAATATTCACAACGTTTTTTTGTTAATTTTTAGCCGATAATATGGTTTGCGTGTTGTAGTTTTTACACTTAATGATTCATTATATTGTGGCATTTGTAATAGGTATACCAACCGTTTTGAATGAAATGCAAAAAGTGTTGTATCGCTGTAATATTACGTATAAATTGATTTTTTTTTTATAATTATAGTAGTCATTAATTAAAAACTTATATAATAATTCTAATTATTAATTGATTTTTTTTTTTGCACAGTATAAAAGAATAGGTCATTATTTGTCGTTGAACGATAATTAAAAAAAAAAAAAAATAGCCTGATATGAATTTATTAGTATTCGCAATGTAGACAAAATTTATCATAATTTACTGAGCACTCTCCTATGTCATGTTCGTAATCCATGAGGATCAAAAGATAACAGTAGTTTCTTTTTGATGATATTTATATGAAATGTTTACTCTAGAACTTATCGCTACTCACCTTGAGATAAATTTTAACATTTTTATCTAATAATAATTATTTCCCAGTGAAAAAAAAGTCAATTTTTATGTTTTTGTTTCACATTCAAATGAATACATTAAAGAGTTTAATCTGATCATATTGTTAATAATCGTAACGTGTAGTGTGTTTAATCAATCAATGGGGTCCACTTAATTATTGAAAAATTGTCCATTTCTAATTGGATGACGTAATTTAGAATATTGATTTTTTTATACGTCTTATTCCGATTTATTAGAAATATTTGAAGATTTAGAAAGCTATCTTTTCATCGCTAATGAAGTATTGATAAGCATAAAATACATTTAAAACTTAACATTTAGTTTGGCATCAAACCGACTTACGAATTGTACTTTTATAAATCAATAAAAGTCGAACCCTATTTTTACAGCTATTATTGGTCTATAAAAAGTAATATAAAAACAATTTGTTCGATGTACATGAAAAATTACTCACATTTAGAAGATGCGAGTGGCAGTATAATCCTCACAGGTTTAATAATGTATCATTAATGAAACACGTTCAATAAACAATACGTTCCGATGAAAAATGTCGACGAATTACGTGACTAATCGAGTTGGATGACTAATAATTTTTTATGGTACACTGTGAACGTCGAGTGGATGTGTTTGAACCTTTGCTTGGATATCTCAGCGTTAACTCACGATAAAATGTCATGAATGAATCACACTACAAGATAGAAGACCGCACCACTAACTGTTGTGTGTCATCTACCAGAGAAAATTTGTGGTGTTTTATGCCTTTGTGTTTACCCAGTGAGATCTATTTTCAAGAGAGTTTTTCGTGTTGATACTTTTACTCACATCATATTATGTTCAGATACTAAAAGAAAGACATAATAACAATTTATAATTGCACAGACACGAGTACTTTAGTAACCTACTGGTTTAACTGGTTTATTGCATTATTATTATTATTATTGTGGATATTATTAAACTCATTGTACGATTTAATTATAATTATACATGTATTTTTAAAACACGATTATCAATTTACTACTGTTTGGTACGATAATTTTTAATTGTTTGAAACATCTGGTCTAATTGATTTCTAACTAACTGTTATGAGCTTATAATATTCGTGTAAAATTACCGTATAAATCTTTTTTAAGAATATTTTCAAAAGACGAGAACGTTCTTCTTATTATACTTTACTTTATATGTAGTCTACTTCGAATAAAAGTTATCAATTATCCATTTTAATGACTTTGAGTTTATAAACGCTTTAAAGTTGTAATTAGAAATAACTAAATTTATACTTAACGGTTAAATTACGGTAATTATATAAAATTTTTTTTTGTACTGGAAATTTGTCGATTGCATCTACACTAAATAATTTTTCGGAAGGGTTATTATTTTAAGTTATTAAATAACAAATGAAACATTAAGAAGACATCGAAATGCAAAAATATTAAGAAGCCACAGAATGGTTTTCCGACTCGTATAGATTTTAGAGAATTGTTGTAGTCATGTGACTCAAATCAAACAAGTAAAATATTATTATTTTTTCCGCTACAAATTTTCAATAAATATTCATTAATTAAAATAATTATCAAGTTTGATTAAAGACTCTTGAAAAAATAATTTATTTTTATTTTTTTTAAGAATATATTCTCCCGTTATAATCTGCAAAAGAATATTATCAAGAATATTTCTGTTACCACGAAAATTCTCCCGATAATGTAATTGCGTTACGTCATTGATACACAACAAACAAGTAAAAAACTAGCTTTTTAAGTTCAAATGATCTAGGATGATTTATTAATTTTTGTAAATATATGTTGATTAATTTATGTTTCTGTCCACCTGTGTATTAAAAAGTACAAAAATTGTCACAGACACCGTTTTGTTTATTATTTTTCATATGATTAATTAAGAATAAAAAGTTGGCCTTCAACCGGTTACATGTTTTCTACCACCTCGGAGATTAACTGTGTTATAAAAGTATATGTAATCTTTCGTGTAGTTTAACACCACGCTCATTCAAATAAAAAAAATTTAAATAACGCTAATTTATAGTTTAGGGTTATTTTTTATTTGTCTATTTATGTTTAACGTCATCTGTTAAAAGAATTTGCGCGAGAAGACAAGGAAACCTTACTCGGTACATACCCAAAGAAGACACGACAAGATTAACTAAGTGGGTGCCAAACATATGTTTTCATTATAAATAAAATATTAGTTTTGATTGGAGGTAAAAGAGCATTTTAAACAATAATTGATGAAAAAACAACAACATGAAAACGCCGAATAAGTATTTGACTAATTCAAAGCTAATTTCGTTTATTTGATAACAATTGACACGAACAAATAAAAGTTGCTACGACAACAAAAACAAATTTTTGATCAAAGTTCACGCGGATCCGAGTAGATACTAGACGTTTTCTGTTTTATGACACGTCGGTCGACAACCCAATCACTCAAAGTGAAACGCCAAAGTTAAACAGTCAAAGAAATGTTCCTTGCCGGGGCATTTGTTTTAAATAAGATCCAGTAAAAACGTCGTGATGTCAGACACAACAGCAACTCGTCGCTGGAAAAGTCATCAATGGTGCGTGGAATTTCAATTTTTGTTGAACCGATTGTCCGACAAGCCGCGTTTACCGTGTCTAATCCGATCACACAAGAGATCACATACGACATAATACAATAATAATAATAATATTATAATACGCGGAGACGATTACATTTGTCGGCACTTTTCATCGGCCGAGTGTGCCCCGGGCGTGCAATATTCCCGTCAACTACTTATTTTCACGCGCGCGTTTCCTCTTCATCTTTTTACGGCGCGGCTCGTTCCCATTTATTTCTTATTATTACCATTATGTTTACGTACCGATAATTAAAACGCCATTCACGACGTGTCCAGCTCCTTCTACACACGGATAATAACAACAATAATATAATCCGGATCACATCTATCGCACATATTATTGTAGTACATTCTGTGTGCTCCTAGCTCGCGCTCACTCTCGGCCAGTTCATTATACCCGTACACCGCACCGTCGCTGTCTTTGTCTGGCACATGTGCACACACATTATACCAATCGTATGAATTTGTTCGATATTAATGATTCCATTGTGTCAGCGATGAACAAAGAGGCGCAGGTGCCGTGAGAACGCGGCGGTATGTCCTTTTTAAAAGTAAATTAGAAAATAAAAAGGAAAATAATAATAATAATAATAATAAAATACTGAAATAGATAAGTCCTATAATAACGA